TGCAATAAAAATATTCACTTCAATAGTACCTGCTTTTTTTTCCTTGTTATCTATTTAGTAAACATTTTCCTTATATTATGTTTATGCAGTTTCAAGTTTTAACCATGATTTAATATTATATGTTATGGATCCAAATTGTAAATTAGAATGAACATCGTCAAGAAGTTTCTAATATTAAAAGGATAATTCTGCTGCAATTGTTATCTAAAGATTCTAGCAGCCAAATTTTCAAAAGAGTTTGCTAATTTTGGGGGCCTACTCTGGACAAATTAGGCCTGATTTCAGAGGAACTGAGCACTTTGAGCTCCCACTGGAGTGGGAAGCACTAAACATCTCTAAAAATCAGGCCCAAAGTGTTTTGAGTTGGACATGTAAAGTCAAAGTCTAATTTTGCTCTAACTATATAGGCTGGGACTTTCAAAGGGCATAAAGGAGCTATGAGTCTAACTCCCATTGACTTCCAATGGGAGTCAAAACCTTAACTGCTTTAGGTTCACTGGTCAATGTAAAAAGTAGACCGTAAAGCCTGAGACACATAGACAAGGGCATCTCAGTGTTTGCAGTACTCCCTATCCTCACAATAGGGAATACAGCAGATAAAGAGATCATGCTTTTTAATTACCTAAGGCAAGTGATTAAGGTTAAGGGTGGCCATTGTGGGTGCCATAGTTTTCCCCACCCTTAGCCACTGTGGTTTCATGCATAATTATAACGACATTGTTCTGGCACCTCTGAAAAACTCTTTTTCCTTCTCCTCCCTGAGAGAGGCCCTTTAAAGTTTCTAAACCCTGAGTTCATTGAGTCTGAGGCCTGGAATACATAGTTTGTCCCACGCTCTCCATTACTAGCTGAGCTGGTAAGGCTAAGAAGTTTCACAGAATCACAGAACTTTTATGGATCAAAGTGGATCTACTCTAGGAGCGCTGACCTTAATAACAACTTGGATTACACTCCAGAAAAGACAAAAGCCCACCCCCACCATGTATTTATAGTTTATCCCCCTTCCAAAATAATTATAATTTGACCAAGAAAAGTATCTTTCAGCTCACTCAGTTAGACACTAAAAACCATAATCTGGAACAAATTTCCTGGGCAATGACTATTTTTTAAACTTCCAGTATAAAAGGGAGAGATGGAGATGTTTAGATTCTAATACTTTCTACAAAAAAACATGCTCCACAAAGTTTAAAAAGCTATTACTTTCAGACTATGATTTTCCTTTTGCTAAAAATGGGCCCGGATAAAACAAATTATTTACACTTTGAAGATGTTCATATCCAGATGCAAAAGCTTCCAAGAACTCAGAAGGTTAGCATCTGGAGTTTGGTTTGGTCCATCCTAGATGGAAGTGTCAGCGAACAAAATGATCCAGATGCAAACTCCTCTAAAATTTGGGAGTGTTCAGAGCTGCTGGTGTGGTTCAAGACATTAGAGAAATTGGGGCAGCTCAGAAGATAGAAACCGATCAGAACTTCTCCAAGGTTCAGGCGGATTTGGATTGGGGGCTTTGCTTTGGACCTCAACAATAGCTTTTCAATAAAACTTTGTGAAAGGTGTTCTTTTCTCAATGCAAAAAGAAAAGGAGTACTAGTGGCACCTTAGAGACTAACCAATTTATTTGAGCAGAAGCTTTCGTGAGCTACAGCTCACTTCATTGGATGCATTCAGTGGAAAATACAGTGAGGAGATTTATATACACACAGAACATGAAAAAATGGGTGTTATCATACACACTGTAAGGAAAGTGATCACTTAAGATGAGCTATTACCAGCAGGAGAGCCGGGGGGGTGGGGGGAAGAAAACCTTTTGTAGTGATAATCAAGGTGGGCCATTTCCAGCAGTTAACATCTGAGGAACAGTGAGGGAGGGGGAAATAAACATGGGGAAATACTTTTACTTTGTGTAATGACCCATCCACTCCCAGTCTTTATTCAAGCGTAAGTTAATTGTATCCAGTTTGCAAATTAATTCCAATTCAGCAGTCTCTCGTTGGAGTCTGTTTTTGAAGTCTTTTTGTTGTAATATTGCCACATGCTCTCAAAGAAACTGCGGAACCACCTAATCAACATCCTCTACAGCAAACGGGGAAAGATTAAGAATGAGCTCTCAAAACTGGATACTCTCATAAAAAGCCAACCTTCCACACAAACTTCCTTGTGGCTGGACTTTACAAAAACTAGATAAGCCATTTACAACACACACTTTGCTTCTCGACAAAAGAAAAAGGACACTAAACTATATAAACTACTACATGCCACAAGAGGCCACAGCAATGGTTCCCTTAACCCACCCAGCAATATTGTCAATCTATTCAACTATACTCTTAGCCCAGCAGAAGAATCTGTCCTATCTCGGGGCCTCTCCTTCTGCCCCTCCACCCACACGAACATGATACAGTTCTGTGGTGACCTAGAATCCCATTTTCGACATCTCCGACTCAAGGAATATTTCCAACACACCTCTGAACAACATACTAATCCACAGAGACCTTCCTACCAACACTACAAAAAGAAGGATTCTAGGTGGACTCCTCCTGAAGGTCGAAACAACAGACTGGACTTCTACATAGAGTGCTTCCGCCGACGTACACGGGCTGAAATTGTGTAAAAGCAGCATCACTTGCCCCATAACCTCAGCTGTGCAGAACACAATGCCATCCACAGCCTCAGAAACAACTCTGACATCATAATCAAAAAGGCTGACAAAGGAGGTGCTGTTGTCATCATGAATAGGTCGGAATATGAACAAGAGGCTGCTCGGCAGCTCTCCAACACCACTTTCTACAAGCCATTACCCTCTGATCCCACTGAGGGTTACCAAAAGAAACTACAGCATTTGCTCAAGAAACTCCTTGAAAAAGCACAAGAACAAATCCGCACAGACACACCCCTGGAACCCCAACCTGGGGCATTCCATCTGCTACCCAAGATCCATAAACCTGGAAATCCTGGATGCCCCATCATCTCAGGCATTGGCACCCTGACAGCAGGATTGTCTGGCTATGTAAACTCCCTTCTCAGGCCCAACGCTACCAGCACTTCCAGCTATCTTCGAGACACCACTGACTTCCTGAGGAAACTACAATCCATTGGTGATCTTCCTGAAAATACCATCCTGGCCACTATGGATGTAGAAGCCCTCTACACCAACATTCCACACAAAGGTGGACTACAAGCCATCAGGAACAGTATCCCCGATAATGTCATGGCAAACCTGGTGGCTGAACTTTGTGACTTTGTCCTCACCCATAACTATTTCACATTTGGGGACAATGTATACCTTCAAATCAGCAGCATTGCTATGGGTACCTGCATGGCCCCACAGTATGCCAACATTTTTATGGCTGATTTAGAACAACGCTTCCTCAGCTCTTGTCCCCTAACGCCCCTACTCTACTTGTGCTATATTGATGATATCTTCATCATCTGGACCCATGGAAAAGAAGCCCTTGCAGAATTCCACCATGATTTCAACAATTTCCATCCCACCATCAACCTCAGCCTGGACCAGTCCACACAAGAGATCCACTTCCTGGACACTACGGTGCTAATAAGCGATGGTCACATAAACACCACCCTATACTGGAAACCTACTGACCGCTATTCCTACCTACATACCTCCAGCTTTCACCCAGACCACACTACACGATCCATCGTCTACAGCCAAGCTCTACGATACAACCGCATTTGCTCCAACCCCTCAGATAGAGACAAACACCTACAAGATCTCTATCAAGCATTCTTACAACTACAATACCCACCTGCTGAAGTGAAGAAACAAATTGAGAGAGCCAGAAGTCACCTACTACAGGACAGGCCCAACAAAGATAATAACATAATGCCACTAACCATCACCTTCAGCCCCCAACTAAAACCTCTCCAAAGCATCATCAAGGATCTACAACCTATCCTGAAGGATGATCCCGCATGCTCACAGATCTTGGGAGACAGGCCAGTCCTTGCTTACAGACAGCCCCCCAACCTGAAGCAAATACTCACCAGCAACCACACACCACACAACAGAACTACTAACCCAGGAACCTATCCTTGCAACAAAGCCCGTTGCCAACTGTGTCCACATATCTATTCAGGGGACACCATCATAGGGCCTAATCACATCAGTCACACTATCAGAGGCTCATTCACCTGCACATCTACCGGTGTGATATATGCCATCATGTGCCAGCAATGCCCCTCGGCCATGTACATTGGTCAAACTGGTCAGTCTCTACGTAAAAGAATAAATGGACACAAATCAGATGTCAAGAATTATAATATTCATAAACCAGTCGGAGAACACTTCAATCTCTCCGGTCACTCGATTACAGACCTAAAGGTCGCAATATTACAACAAAAAGACTTCAAAAACAGACTCCAATGAGAGACTGCTGAATTGGAATTAATTTGCAAACTGGATACAATTAATTTAGGCTTGAATAGAGACTGGGAGTGGATGTGTCATTACACAAAGTAAAACTATTTCCCCATGTTTATTTCCCCACCCCCAACCCCCACTGTTCCTCAGATGTTCCCGTTAACTGCTGGAAATGGCCCACCTTGATTATCACTACAAAAGGTTTTCTTCTCACCCTCCCCCCCCCCCCGCTCTCCTGCTGGTAATAGCTCATCTTAAGTGATCACTTTTCTTACAGTGTGTATGATAACACCCATTTTTTCATGTTCTGTGTGTATATAAATCTCCTCACTGTATTTTCCACTGAATGCATCCAATGAAGTGAGCTGTAGCTCATGAAAGCTTATGTTCAAATAAATTGGTTAGTCTCTAAGGTGCCACTAGTACTCCTTTTCTTTTTGCGAATACAGACTAACACGGCTGCTACTCTGACACTTTTCTCAATGCAGTAACTCCCATTGGAATGCAGCTTCCTGGAAGGATAGCTCAGTATTGGTTTGTTGAAAAACATAGTGGAATGAGTGGTAAGGAGGCAGCTCACATGATGTCACGACAAATCTCCACAAGGAAACATATTCAAAATAAATTACTTCCATCGTTTTGCATTTTATTTGCAAATTAAGCCTTCCCCCTCTCCCCCACCTGGGAACATTTTATTTTGAAAAATAAATGGATTTTGATTTGGGATGTTTTAAGACCAGGCCTTATATGCCTTCCTCCCTTCCATTTTGTTCAATTATACTTATGCATATTTAGGAAAGGAAGCTACTGAAAATATAATAAGAGGTTAAGATATGAGGAGTTTAGATTTACAGAGCCAACAGTTTTAATCATTAATGGATGGTCTAGTCAAGCCTTAGCTGATACATTTGGAAGAACGAAATTACACATTGAGTAATCTAAGATTAATTTTTCTCTGGAGGGGGGTAAAATAAATAAATATCTTTTCTCAAATGACTTTTTTTGTCAATCACAGATGTAAGGGGTTAACCATCTGCAATTTTTCATTAAAGAACTGGAATAATTTTATTTCTTGATCTGTTTTAAAACTGTGAACTTAGCTAGAAAAATTAAGAGAGGATAAATATGGCTTGAAGTGGATTGTTGAATTTTTGGTTCATTGTTTAAATGCTTAGGTTAACTCCTCCTTTCTTCCTTTCGGGGCTCAATCAAAAGTTTCTCCCCAAGTTTTCTAATGAGTTCTGCCAGGTCTTCTGTGTTCTGAGATTTTTCCTCAAGAAGTTCATAACGGAGACTTGAGATGTCCTGTTTAATTTCCTTCAGTTCCCCTAGAAGAGAGAAGATTAAAAGTTATGAAGCAAAAGAAAAAGAGAGTGTAACCAAGGTAGTTATGATAAATGTAACTTAGTGCCAGACCATCCCGTGCATGGATTTCCTCTGCCCAACCAGAAAGGTAGGTGTATAGTATAGCTGCCTCTATGGCCCTGTGCCTCTTCCTGAGTCTTTAGAGGGGGCTCTCTCTGGGGTCAGGATCCACATGAGGAGATGTGACTGGGAGTAAGGGTGTCTGGGATGAGGAGTAAGGGAGTTGTAGGGGGCACATCATAACCTCAAAGAATCAATCTGGTCCATGTATATGAATCCTGCCCTCCATGTAGAGGAATCACTCTTAAATGAGGGCTCTGAAGGTAGCAGTGACCAAGGAGCATGGTGGATTGGTGCTAGGAATGCCAGAACCAGCTCTGGTCTCAGGGATCACAGAGGCATCTGAAGCCCATTTCCTCCCTCAGGGTCACTCGATTCTGCTCAATTTCTGGGCAGAACAGCAGCAAACCCACAGAATGACTGGAGGTACCTCCACGAGGAAAGCCTATGGAGTTTTTCTCTCTTCAGAGGCAATTCCTTGGGAAGAGTTGTACTATTGCCAGTCTTCAGATTTTAACTCAATTTGGAATAAATATTTTTCTTAAAGGAGACACATCAAGTAATGCAACAACTGTTGATGTAATATGCCTGATTTAATGGTACTGAAACAAATCCCACAAAGGCATGTTCGTCAATAATCTACCAGTGTCATCTTCTCAGAAAACAGGCTTGTTTAAGAGCAGGTTCGAACCAGGCCGGTGAATAAGAAAATTAACACCATTTATTAGAAGATAGATGTTTTCTGCCTGAAGAATGAGAAGCCTGGTTCAGAACTAAAATAAGACACTGGAATTCTATTCATATGTCAATAGTTTAGAAACTCTGGGTAACAAGCCTGCAGGGGTCTCAATGTCGGTCTCCAAAAGACACAGTGATAACCAGCCTTTTCCACCTCCTCTCTGGGATTCACCTGGACTGGTGACAAGCTAATACTGGCAAACAGGCACAGGCTCGCGAAGAGCTGGAATACTGCCGAGCTTCTGCACTTTGCTATGGCTATGGATACATGAGAGAGCTTACAGCGGCACAGCTGAACCAGTGCAGTTGCGCTCCTGTAAACTCTCTTGTGTCGCCGCTCTGAGCTGAAGGGAGAGAGCTCTCCCCTCAGCTTAGCTGCTCCAGCCCCTGCAAGTGGCAGTAGCTGTGTCAGCAGGAGAAGCTCACCTGCCAACAGAGTGCTGTCCACGTCGACATGTAAATCGACATAAGCTATGTTGCTCGGGGGGTGGGGAAGGTAGGGGGGTTATTCACACCCTTGAGTGACATAATTTATGCCGATTTAGAATGTAGTGTAGCCATAGCCTTAATCTGCATCGCCTGCTGAACCACAGGGAAAGCACTTTAGTACAGAGGCACAGCTCAGCTTTGACTCCCCAGCTGCCTGTCTGAAAGGAAGAAGATAGAGTCAGAAAGAAAAGGAAACAGAGCAGGGTTTAGTGAGCAAATAATCCAGATATGCAATTGGCAGGGGCAATATTCCACACAGAAAGGCAAAGCCAGTGCATATCTATGGTGAAGGGTGAGAGAGGGAGGGCAGCACTTCTGTGTGGGGGTCTGCAGAACACACTTGCTAGTGTATGTAGAGAACTGGTCGGATACATTAAATCACATTAAAAGAAGCTAAACTCTGTTAAACCCTTTCCCAGTATTACTTTTTTCACTTTTTGCTGTCATTGCCACAAGCGTACACTTGACCCACACCATGAAGAATGCAAGGGGAAGTGGTCACAAGACAATCTCTGAATTAAAATGATGGTGCTCCATGAGAACGTTTAACAATTCCTAGATATGGGGAATGTGTAGCTACTAGTAGAAGTGGCAACACACTTGACATGTTATAGCCGTCATCATTCCCAGTGTAGGCAACAGCACTCTTACTGAAGCAATATCAGGGCTCATAGAAACCATCCTCAAACCACTCATCACACAGTGGGCCAATTTTCTCCAAGATACTACCGACTCCCTCCTGAAACGCCACAGCATTAACCACCTCCCCCAGAACACCATCCTTGCTACCATGGATGTCACCTCCCTATACAGCAATATCCCTCACCACGATGCCATTGCTGCCTGCCTCAACTATCTACAAGATAACGAACAATGCTCAGAAATCCACCCCAAACCCATCACCAAACCATCCATGTCATCATCACCCATGACAGCTTTACATTTAACAACAAATACTTTTTAAAACTGGGCTAGGCACTAGGATGACACCCCAATACGCCAGCCTCTTTGTGGACCACCCTGAGGAAGAACTTCTGGAAAAATGCACCACAAAACCAATGATATACCTGAGATATATTGATAATATGTTCATCTTCTGGACAGGTGACCTAAACTACCTTATAGATTTCCACCACAACTTCACCATCCATCCATCGAACACTCTTGAACATTCCCATGCCACAATTAACATCCTAGACATCACAATCAGCTTCCACAATGGAACCCTACAAATGATATGTACAAAAACCCATAGCGCAACACACTTACCCCAAGATCCAGCAATCACTACAGACACACCAAAAAATCTGTTATCTACAGTCAGGCATTTAGATACCACAGAATTTCCTCAGAAGAGAAAGTTTGGTTAACACCTAAACACATTTAAAACTACCTTCACTAAATAAGGACACTCCACCAGAGAAGCAGATTGCATCATGGAACTGGCCACCCAAATAACCCGGAACAACCTGCTTTAATACGACTGTCCCCCAAAACACTGACTAGACACCCCAAGTTGTCACCCCGACTTGTAACCCCACACTAGACACAAATGGGGTATCATAAAATAATTACAACCCATACTTTACTGGGACCCAGCCTTGAAAGAAATCTTTCATGAACCCTCTCTTCTGGCCTTCAAACAATCCCCCAACTTTGCCAAGGTCATCATCAGAAGCAAACTCCCCACATACCGGGACATACAACTCAAAATGGCACCAGATCCTGCTAGAACAACAGATACAAAACCTGTGGACATATAACCACTGCTATGATGATCAATAATGCCCACAACACAACTTTCAAGATCCATGGGCCCTACACATGCCCATCCCAACGCATAATTTAGCTCATTCAGTACACCAAATGCCCCCAAAACAACTATGTGAGTAAAACAAGGCAATCATTATGCTCTCAAATGAACTAACACAGAAAAAAATGATAAAAGACAAAAATACCCTGTCACCCATGGTTGAACACTGTTCACAAAACAATCACTCAATAGCTGACTTCTCAGTCCTCATCTCAAAGGAAACTTAAACAACACCTTCAAAAGACAAGCCTAGAAACTTAAATTCATATCTCTGCTGGACACCAAAATCCATGGATGTAACAGAGACACTAGTTTTATGGCTCATTACAACAATTTGTAACTCATCCTCCTGCCTTCTAACCTTTAATTGCACACTTCATTTTAAGTAGTCTCCTACAACATATGTGAACCCCTTATACTTAATCTGTCCCACCTTGTAGTAAGCTTACAGATTCTGGTTACCTTCTCTAGACATGAGGAAGAGCTCTGAGAAGGTCACAAGTTTGTCCCTTTTACGAACAGAAGTTGGTCCAATAAAAGATATTACCCCACCTATTACCTTGTTTATGTTATAGCCAGGAAGCCAGTCTCTGGTGTGGGAAGCAGAGATCCAAGAAACATGTCTTTTTCTTAACATCAGTCTCTCACATTAACATTATACTTTTTATTAGGTAATAATTTACTATTGGTTCTGATATATTTTTGTTTTGCCATGTATCCAAGAACTTTGAAATGTGATTGTCCCAAAAAGTTTGGGAAATGTTCTTCCAACAAGTTAATATAGTCTTTTTTGAGTTGCTTCTTTTGATTCCATGATTAACTTTGAAACTGTGATCAATATGCTACACTCACCTTCATTGACTTCATCATTCTCCTTGTTTATCTGAGCTTTCAGTACGTATCTTTTAATGAGACGCTTCATTATCTTCTAGGGCGAGGAAAGAGGAAAGAGAAAAGAGTTAGAATTTTCAAAGCTGAACTTGCTTGCATTGATTCTGAAATTTCAAGGCATGTGCTCAGTCAACATTTTGTTGTTGTATATCTAGAGTTGCATTTAACTCCTCCAGTCCATGGCATTTACCAGGATTAAAGGCCTCTCATGCATAAAAGAAACATGACAGTCTCTGCTTTCATCTAGACTATTGATCTGAAAATTAACTTTCCAGTATATGTATATATGCAAGATGACAAAAGTGGACACATCTTACTAATTATTAAATTTTATTTGCAATTAAAAAATGATGCAGAAAAAACAGACTCTATGGGGCTGATTTACACCAGCTGAGGATCTGACCTTTAATCAGTACTAATTACTAAATAACTTTGCAATAAATATATTGTTTCCATATAATTTTACATTACACTAAATTATATATGCTTCCAAACTCAAGACTGAGAAAATTCCCTGAAGCACTTGGTTCTAACATTTAATGTGCTGTAACTGTGTCCCATGCTAATCCAATATGACTTTTGTCTTCCTCTAGTAGCTAGACCGTGTATACTGGTTTATGAGTCTGCTGTTGCTTCAATTCTAAACACACCTGGTGTTTAGCTCAGGAAGTAGGGGCTCATGTTTTAAATCCAGAAGCCCAGATTCAATCCCCACAGATGACTGGCTCAGCGGCATCATTACATAATCACATTTGCAATGTGGATGACACTATGGTATATTTTAATAATCCAAAAAAATTCCAAATACAAAGCCACCCAGCCTAATGCTTTTGAAGTAACGTCTTAATCATAATAGCTATCAGCCCATCATAACTTGATTAGCCATGCCAAAAGCCAAGGCATTCTGGGCTTGATTGTATCATTAGATACAACCTACAGTCAGGGGTGATGCCACACTGCTCCAAGGGGAGCAGCAGCAGGCTTCCTGTCTCAGAGATGAAAGAGATCCTGAGTAGTCGATCTCCATACTTACTACTATACCCTTTTGTGGGATGCAGCTATGCCTCGGCTATGTCTATGCCACACACCACTGGCGTCATCGTGCAGTGGAACGTGTAGCTACATGCTACAGTAAAAAGCAATCTGCGTCCACTCTGAGTGGACTGGTGTGTAGCTATGTAGAGCTACACATGTCAGTGAAAGGCTCTGGCAGGGGGAAGGCAGCTGAGAAAGGCTGAGCCTTTCCCCACTACTGGAGCCTTTCCACACCTCATGGAAAGGTACCATAGCAGGGACGTGCCCAATCCTTTCCCTGCTGCCTCCCCACTGCCATACCCTTTCCCCATTGCTGGAGCCTTTCCCCTGTACAGGAAAAGACTCCCTCAGCAGGAAGCAGCAGGACACTACACTTCTAAAATAGCAGTGTAGACAGGGAGGCACAGCTTGCGTGAGTAGAGAGCATACTTGCATATATACCCACATCTTTCAGAAATGTCTTTACTCACCTAAGGCAGGCCTCACCAAGTACACTGCTATTTATACCTGTGTTGGGGGAGGGGGTGCAGGTATGTACTCTAAATGTTGCCACAAGAAGTGTGCAGTGTAGACAGACCTCTGCTCACATGGCCAGCCAGTTCTACTTGTCCCTTTCTCACCCCTTTGTGGCACTATCTGAAGGGAGCTGTCTCTATGCTTCTCCAAGTGCAGGAGCTGCAGTGATTTCTGGAGCTTCTGGCTAACACTCCTTACATGCTTCCTCCCCGCTGTGCACTCTCAAAGGCAGACTGGGGCCCCATGCATAGCAAAGAATACATAGAATGTACCATAATAATATGGAACTGCAGGAACCAAGCTTACAGTGATTTGTAATTCTTGAGGGATAAGAAAGAGGAAATATAATACAGAAAGGTAATTTGCATTAGCTTTTGACCTGGATTTTTTTCCAAAAAGAAGAGTTGCTCCTGATGTGCACTGTGTATCTGAGTCTTTCCCTTTGACTAAAATTGTTCTTCATGTTGGCCTTTTACAGTATTCCACTCAGAAATGTAGCATTTAGGAAGCATTCTACCATAATCATACAGCCAATGCAATTATTCTAGATTTACATCCAGTAGATTTACTTCGGATTCACACTATTACTAATATCAGAATTTGTCTTTAAATCTTTAATCTGACGAGTCTTAATCCTTTTTCAATGCAAGTTGTATTAAATTGCCTTTTACCTGGTATTGTCGTGGAGGATTACTTAAGCTATTTAAATGGAGATCATCTGTGCTTCTTATACTTGATTGCTTACTTTGCCCAAGCTGAAAGAAAAACATTTGATCAGTATCAGCAATAAATGTAAGGGTTATTTAGTTATACTTTCTTTTGTACAAGAATTCTGCAGCAGAACATTAACTTTTAGATGTAATGGTAGGGGTAAGGGTTAAATTTCAGGAGTGAAATCCTGGCTCTATTGATGTCAATGACAACACTCCCGTTACGTGCAATGGAGACAGCATTTCACCACACTAGTTCACTTTAACTCTTCCAGTCCCCACTTCAGGAAAATTACTCTATTTAGAAAAGCACTTAAGTATATGCTTCAACTGAATGTAAAAACAACGAGGAATCTGGTAGCACCTTAAAGACTAACAGATGTATTTTGGTATAAGCTTTTGTGGGTATAAAACCCCTCTTCTTCAGATGTATGGAGTGAAAATTACACATACAGGCATAAATATACTGGCACATGAAGAGAAGGGAGTTACCTCACAAGTGGAGAACCAGTGCTGACAAGCTGGCCAATTCAGCCAGGTGGATGTGGTCTACTCCTAATAATTGATGAGGAGGTGTCAATACCAAGAGAGGGATAATTGCTTTTGTAGTGAGCCATCCACTCCCAGTCCCTATTCAAGCCCAAATTAATGGTGTTAAGTTTGAGAATGAATTGTAGCTCTGCAGTTTCTCTTTGAAGTCTGTTTTTGAAGTTTTTTTATTGCAGAATGGCTACTTTTAAATCTGTTATTGAATGTCCAGGGAGATTGAAGTGTCCTCCTACTGGCCTTTGTATGTTACCACTCTTGATGTCTGATTTGTGTCCATTTATTCTTTTACAAAGAGACTGTCTGGTTTGGCCAATGTACATGGCAGAGGGGCATTGCTGGCACTTGATGGCCAGCAATAATGTGATATATGCCATGATGTGCCAGCAATGCCCCTCTGCCATGTACATTGGCCAAACCTTGTGACCCTCAGCATCATAATGCTAAACTTTTAGGCACCTTGAAAACTGGAATCCACAACGGCTGAGTTCGGAGCCCAGGCTCCCTATACAATGAATGCGGGGGAGAGATGTGCCTGAGAATGGGATCCACAAAAGCCAGCGCACCTGACAGCTCCCTGTCTACGCTAGTCAATAGCAGATGCTGATGAAATGTGTGTGTCCTAAGCCCCAGCCTTCTCACGGAGTTAGATGCCTATCTCTGCTTGGGAACTGCAACTTGGAGTCTCTCTCCTTACACACCTGGCTAACCGTACACAAAATTCCTGGGGAGGGTGGGAGAGGAGGAGGAGGATCTCCCTTATAACCTTTAATCCAGTGGTTAGGGTACTCACCCAGTATGTGGGAGATCCCGGTTTAAGTCCCCACTATGTCTTAACCACTGGACTCTGGGATATTTTGATGAGGGGCTCTCTCAATCTCTCTTCTTGAAGGACACACCCATTGCATCAGCATCTGCTATTGGCTAGTTTAGACAGGGAGCTGCCAGGTGTGCTGGCTTTTGTGGATCCCATTTTCAGGCACTTTGTATTAAAATAATTAAAATTAATTCAGTCCATAAAAGAGTGAGAATGACTCTGTAGTCCAGTGATAAGGGCACTCAACTGGGAGGTAAGCAAACCCTGTTCAAATCCTGTCTCCTCATCAGATGCGGGAGGAGGGAAATTGAACTAGGGTCTTCCTCATCCCAGGAGAGTACACTAACCACTGGGCTAAAGGTTATAAAGGAGCCTGGCTGTTTTGTATGGAGTTAAGCATTCTCAGTGCACATCTGCCAGATTGGGACCCGCAGGCAAGATAGGCAGGGCAACACCTATGTCTACCTGGTTTGAGGATCATATTTGGGCTTAGGTGTGAGATAGACTTTTACATCAGAAATTTAGGCACCAGGTGAGTTTAGCTGCCTACAGGGCTAGACAGCAGATAAGCAGGGGTTTGGTGGTCCATAGTAACACCTAAACCTGGAATTTAGGCACCGAAGTCCCTTAGTGGATGTGGTCAAAGTGCTTTCCTGAACCAAGGTACCAAAGAGTAGGTAACAAACCAAACTAGCAAAGCCCCAAAAAGACACCCAACCTCAACAAAAAGGAACACCAAAGAGAATTGCAGAATGGAATAGATTCTCTTAAGTTCTGGGAAACTTTACACCCTCATGCAGGTTAGGTATGTAATGGAGTTCAAGAGCCTGATTCTCCTCTTAAATACTGCAGTTTTATATTTGTGTAACTCCACTGATGTCAGGCCTCATATACCATTAGTTTGTGTTTTGCAGCCACTTTGTACAGGTGTAAAGGTTACAGTGAGGATGTAAAGTGTAAAGGTGTAAGACAGTGAAGAATTTGGTTCCCTTGGCTTGTTGCTCCCCTCACTTTCATTAATGTCTCAGTGTAAGATGATTAAGCAATGCAAGTCAGAAGCCCATGGAGGTTCTGATTTCACAGTATATTTCTGAACAGCATTTTTGTTAAACACTGGAGTGAATGGACATTATTCAAAACTGGAGAACAAATTACTGGCAGATAATCCAGGGCTGCAGTTATTTAGGATGCATTATTGGTTAATGTCTTTGAGAAAGACCAAAACACAATATTGTTATGAAATGATGAATTCAATAGTGTAGCTGAATGATTAAATTGTAATAAGGATGATTTAGGAACTGTCAGAAGAAAACAATTCATGTATTACTATTGATTGAGACAAATCAACCAGCTCTCTGAACAGTAATGCAAGAAATAAGGAATCTGAAATATAAACGATGATTGACCTGGATGAGGACCTAAAGAGGTCGGCATTACAAAGTCAAAATCTTTTACAGTTGTATCTGACATACAAAAAATATTTCCTCTTCAAAATATAGGGACACAGCCACAGTATCTCAGATGCTATTGTGTATTAAACTGTGGGTACATGTTGTATTTTTAGTGGGAATTTTGGTACCAGGCATTCTTGTGCTTTAATCAGTTGAATGCTTAGCTATAAATGAATTGGAAAGCCTTGAAACCTGATAGAAAGTACATTGGGATATAACAGGAAATAAGCTATGCCTGAATTGCAAGAGGAACTAAGGACTAGTGTGTAGTAAGTTTTCAGCTTGTGTCTGATATTAGATTCATAGATTCATAGATATTTAGGTCAGAAGGGATCATTATGATCATCTAGTCTGACCTCCTGCACAACGCAGGCCACAGAATTTCACCCACCACTCCTGCAAAAAACCTCTCACCTATGTCTGAGCTACTGAAGTCCTCAAATCGTGCTTTAAAGACTTCAAGGAGCAGAGAATCCTCCAGCAAGTGACCCATGCCCCATGCTACAGAGGAAGGCGAGAAACCTCCAGGGCCTCTTCCAATGTGCCCTGGAGGAAAATTCCTTCCCGACCCCAAATACGGCGATCAGCTAAACTCTGAGCATATGGGCAAGATTCATCAGCCAGATAATACAGAAAATTATTTCCTGGGTAACTCAGATCCCACCCCATCTAATATCCCATCACAGGCCATTGGGCCTATTTACCATGAATATTTAATTACCAAAACCATGTTATCCCATCATACCATCTCCTCCATAAACTTATTGAGTTTAATCTTAAAGCCAGATAGATCTTTTGCCCTTACTGCTTCCCCTGGAAGGCTGTTCCAAAACTTCACTCCTCTGATGGTTAGAAACCTTCGTCTAATTTCTAGTCTAAATTTCCTGGTGGCCAGTTTATATCCATTTGTTGTTGTGTCCACATTGGTACTGAGCTTAAATAATTCCTCTCCCTCTCCGGTATTTATTCCTCTGATATATTTATAGAGAGCAATCATATCTCCCCTCAACCTTCTTTTAGTTAGGCTAAACAAGCCAAGCTCCTTGAGTCTCCTTTCATAAGACAAGTTTTCCATTCCTCGGATCATCCTAGTAGCCCTTCTCTGTACCTGTTCCAGTTTGAATTCATCCTTCTTAAACATGGGAGACCAGAACTGCACACAGTATTCCTGGTGAGGTCTCACCAGTGCCTTGTATAACGGTACTTAAACCTCCTTATCCCTACTGGAAATACCTCTCCTGATGCATCCCAAGACCACATTAGCTTTTTTCACGGCCATATCACATTGGCAGCTCATAGTCATCCTATGATCAACCAATACTCCAAGGTCCTTCTCCTCCTCCGTTACTTCTAATTGATGCGTCCCCAGCTTATAACTAAAATTCTTGTTATTAATCCCTAAATGCATGACCTTACACATCTCACTATTAAATTTCATGCTATTACTATTACTCCAGTTTACAAGGTCATCCAGATCCTCCTGTAGGATATCCCTGTCCTTCTCTAAATTGGCAATACCTCCCAGCTTTGTATCATCCGCAAACTTTATTAGCACACTCCCACTTTTTGTGCCGAGGTCAGTAATAAAAAGATTAAATAAGATTGGTCCCTTAGACTATGAAGTCTGAGCAGAGGGCTTTATTAGGGCTAGATTCTGATTTCACTTATAAGACTGTAAATCAGGAGTAAAACCTGAGAAGTCAGCGTTATACAGGTATAAAACTTATGCAAGTGAGATCAGAACCAAGCCCTTAATCTGTAATGAGGACAACACTTAAAATGCTCAATTTTCCCCACTCCCTTCAGAACTTCCTAACTGGAAGTTAGCCTTTTGTCTGAGATTTTCTAATGTGGCTTGTTTTCTAAAAATCAAAAACAAACTTTACTTTCACGTCCACTGTAAATCCAAAATAATGCAACTAAAATAATGGAGTTACTCTGGATTTACCCTGGAGAAAATAAAGCAGATTTTCCTGTATGTCTTTATGCATCAAAATATTTCTTAGTCTAACTTTACTTGTGTGTAGATAATTTCTTTTAAATAGGTGCATTATACCAGCAACATTTTTTGTGTAAGCCATTTCATGATCTTGTTAAAATATGACTATTGGGTGATATAACACGAATATCTGTTGGAGGCCTAAAAGAAGGAAGCATTGTTATAAATTCAAAGTTATTATCATTTAAAGAAGAAATAGTAGACATAATTGGATAACACTGCACTAGAAGTTTAGGGTGAACACGAGGGAAAAGTTCAAACGGTAATCTCATTTAGTTTATGCAATAATTTTTCCAGTGAAGTGGTAAGATCCTGGCCTAGACAAAGCCCTTGAAAATGAGCTGGCTGGCTGAACAGGATGATGAAAAAAACTGTTTTTTGTTCTTAGTTTTTATGACTGTGAAGTACCCATCATGGTGAATGTCATAGTTCAATACCACTCTTCCTTGTACTAATGTTGGTGACAAGTGAAATTCTATTCTCAACAACTCATAATTTTGGCTGATTGGGAAGTTATTCATTAAATGACTTTTCAGCAGAACCAAAACTGCTCCTGGGTACGTATTGGTTTTGATCAAACTTTCATTGGGAAGGTTACTTCGGTTCAGGATGGAATTTCTATTCAGAATCACTGAGAAAAATCAGATAGTGTAGTAACTTGAACTTGGGCCTTCCTATGTTGTACATGACTGCCCTAACTACCAGGCCATTGGCTATTCTCAGGTAGGGTTCTCTCTTTCTCAACCTATGGTGGTGGAGCTGTTCCACTTTGTATAAATAATTAAATATTCATTGGAGCAGGGACTGGTATCTAGGTCCCTGCTGAGTGGCATAACTCTTATCCCTTAGTGGTCAGAACACTCATCCAGGATGAGGGAGAACCAGGTTAAAATCTCTCCTCTGCCTCATGGGAAGAAGGAACTTGAACCCATGTCTTCTACCTCGCGGGTGAGTACCCTGATCTCTAGGCTATGGGGTAGTCTATGATAAGGGTCCCTCAATCAAGCTGTTCAACTTCGTATGAAGTAGATAAACAGTCACTGGATCAGAGACTGGACCCTCAGTCTCCCACTTCCTAGGTGAATCCCCTAAACACCAAGCTATAGAGGAATTCTCACACTCTCACTCTGGCCCAATGACTATTTAAGTATTTTAAATACTAGGGCTTAGGTGTGCACACTGTAACAAGCAAGATTTAGTTGGCTTTGTGCATGCCCACTACTAGAAATGTATGCATTTAAGAGACTTTATCAGTGGATGTGTAGGTGCTTAGGGATTTTAGACACCTACAGGGTTAAGCTGCAGCTGAGGACCTAAATGTTGGACTTAGGTGTCTAAAGCAATAGTTAGGCACTTAAATTCCTTTGTGGATCTAGCCCTTAGTGCCTAGAAGTAGAACAGATCCATATTAAGGCATCTAAAGAAGAGCTTGATACTGCTCCTCCTGAAGCCAGTAGCAAAACTCTCATTGATTTCAGTGCTGTAAGATTGGACCCAAGGTGGTCTGTTTTTAAAGATGCTAGGCACCCACTGCTCCTACTCAAGTCGACAGCAGAGAAAGGGTAAAAATATTATTAACACTTAAAATTTGTATATGGTATAGTGCACTGGAAAGTTACCTTATTCATCTCTGCATCTTCCTGAAAACCATTCTTATGACATAGGTACCCTTTAGAGATCCATTTTTTTATTCTGAGTAAGAGATAAAGCAAAGATTTTGGAGTTGGCACTAGGTTGAAGGGTACAGGAAGAGTTCTCCCCTCTTCAAAGTAGGAAAACCAGAGTTTAGCCCTAGCAAACTTCCATTCCACATCAGCATCATCCTGTAAGACAGAAATATGACTATCAAAACAATGCTAACAATGTCTTCATTATTAAAATTACCCTAGCCAATGGCATTTGTGTTTTGAACACGAATGGATGACATGAATACCAAGCAGATCCAATTACTATTTTTACCTATGAAGAAGTGAAACATTAATTATGCAAATTGTTTGTTAATCTGAGAAAAGCAAAGGGATGGACCTAGGAAAAGGTAAATGTAGTTTGACTATCAGCTCCTTCATAGTGAGTGCTATTAGTCTGTAAAAAGTGTCTATCCATTGACACTTTTCGAAATTAGACTGGAGAAAAGGAAAGGCCTCAAGCCAGCAAAGCACATACGCATATGCTTAACTTTAAGCTTGATGTTGATTTTTAAACACATGCATAAGTGCTTCATTGAATAGGAATGGCTTTAAGCACATGCTTAAAATAGAGCATGAGACATTAAACTGACCATTTGTAGGAGTATTCTATGGCACTTTTTCTAAGATTAACCACATTTTCCTGCTTAATTTCCAATTTGCTTCCATTATGGTACATTCTGTCTAAATTTTGTTTGCAGTTTCAGTTGGATGCAGCATCCTTTCTTACTTTTTTCCCTATAAACAGCTGCTGAGTTCTGTCCCAGAGATAAGCGCATTTCAGTGGTCAGTGAAGTGGCTGCTCTGTATCCCTTAACTATATTTTGCAGGCATGTGGTTTAAGACTAAGTGAATATCTGTAAAATGCGATGGGATCACTGAATAAAGTGTGTTACACACTGGGTGGCATTAAAAATTAAACATTTACCACAGTATAGTGTCAATACTTACTGGTGACATATTCTAAATATAAGAAACACTATAGGAAAGTCAGTTGTGAAATAGACTTTTTTGTTCACTTCTGAGTGGCATACACTGTTAGCATAAAAGAGTAACAGTAAAACACAAAACATAATTAGACAACAATAATGTAAGTCAAACCCTACAGTTCCACTTAGTACTCACACCAGCAGAAACACCGCTGAATTCAAAGTGTTTTGCTTGTGCAAGGACTCAAGGATTTGATATTATTCTCCTCAGCAGATGAGCATTGCCAGTGATCATACACAAAGACTCTGGCACTGGGCTAAGTTATTTTAAGGCATACATCTCTGCCCCTTCCTTCATCATTTTATACACAGGTCAATTTTTAAGACTAGATATTGTTTAAAGATCTCACTACCTGCACTTTTTGGATAAAATTAAATTGCTCCATTTTCTTTATCCTTTCCTTTTGTTTTATTCTTGATGTTTGGTTTGTGGCATGGCTGGAGACTGTAGAATGTCATAAGGCCCTCCCAAGCGCTTTCAATATGACCCGTAAGGAAAGAGAGACATTTCCAGAGGTGAAAGTAAGCTGGTATGGTCCGGTACGGCGTACCGGCAAGAGCCAGTAATTACTTACTAAATTTTCATTGTAAATGTTCCCTATGTGGCTAAGTTTCTGCCTCTGGGCATGCATACTGCAGCTGCACTCTAGGCACCTGGGTGCCCTCTAATGCCGAAGCCTCAGTGTGATTCACAAACCAGGAGAAGATAGGCAGAGAAAGTCTATCTGGCCTATGGGGCCTGATCAGAGCACACCTAACTCCACACTAAATGGCCAGGATGGAGAAGGTCTACCTCCTTTGTAACTTTTAGTCCCGCATTAGGGTACTCACTCAGGGTGTGAAGACCCTGATTCAATTCCCCTCTGTGACTGATGGGGCAAAAGATTGGAAAAGGGGTCCCCAATTCTCAGCTGAGTGTCCTAGCTACTGGACTATGGGATGCTCTGATGTTGGACTCTCTCAATCTCTCCAAATGAAGTTGTTCCACTTTAATTAAAATATTAATTGGGACAAAGAAAGAGTGCGAGTCACTTTATTGTGAGAAGTTATTCTTAAAAATTTATAAGATGATCTGGCCATTTATTTCCCACAACACCCAAAAGTTTGTGTGGATTTTTACCAGCTTATTACATTGAAGATTCTGTTCAGTAGGGAAAAAAGCAGAGTTGCTGACAAATTAAAATGATGTATTGGATTTGCCTATAGGTTGGATGCATATGAATAAGGATTCTATTCTAACAGAAAAAATAGGGGCATCACTCAAATAATAATTTCAAATTAGAGATGGAAAAGACTTGCAAGATCAGCTAATGCATCGCTCTCTAGCACTGTTCTATAGTATTTTTTTAGTACGTTGTCTAGTCTAGTTCTTACTGCTCCAAGCATTGGAGTTACATCGCTTTCAGCTACTTTCAGTTTCACCACCAACAATTTGGAAGGAATGTATGGTGTTTATCTAAGCCAAAAATAACTCCAGGTTGTTTCTCTGGAACAAAAAGATATTTATATGTAGAAAATAAGAGTTTGTCATAATGTGCATTTTCTTATACACTAAACCTCACGGAGCTATAACCAGTCACATATAATTATAAAATAAAGTTTTACCTCAATCTCCTGGAAAGAGCTGTTGATCATTGCAATTAGCATGTTCAATAAAACAATGACCATAGTAACATTATAGACTCCATAAAGGACATAACCAATATTCTCAATAAATTTGTGTTTATAATTAATGACAACTGATTTCACTTCTGAAAGTCCGAATATAGCCCAGAACAATGTCTTAAAGCTTTCTTCAACTCTGAAAGGAAAAACAGAACATGGTCATATCCTCCTGAAAAAGATTTATAAAAACTATTTTCATAAACAAGTCACAGCTCTTTACCTACCATATACACATCTCCTGAATGAAACTGTAGAAGTCTGATCTTATTGATATTATCCATCATACACTTAATGTACTAAGCACTCCCATTAGAAACTGCTTCGTAATAACAAAGTTTAAATTTTAAGGCATAAACGATAAAGCCAACTAATTTAGCAGCAGGCAGGAGAGAGGAGGAGAGCAAAGAACCAGGGGTTGCAGTGCACAGGAGGAGAGACATTCATTCATTGGATCTACCTTAGAAGGGAGTTTAATATAAAGGGACATGATAAAAGTATATAAAATAATGAATGGTGCAGAGAAGGTAGACTGGGAACTTCCATTTTCCTGTCTCCTAATACAAGAACATGGGGACTGTCAATGAAATTAAAAACTGATAAAAAGAAATAAGTTTTCACACACATTTGATTAAACTGTGAAACTCACTGACACAGGAAGTTTTTGTGACCAAGAATTTAAGATTAAAAATGGAATTGATGTTTTATATGGAGATCAAGAATATCCAGAGTTATAATTAAATAACAAACATTTTGGAAGGGATATTAAACCTCACATTTCAGGGTTTAAGCAAATCTCTAACTATTAAACATCAGGATCAGACCTCTTGGGGAGGGGAGGGCAGGATCAGATTATCCCACATCTACCTACAGAGCAGTTCTTACACCTCCCTCTGAAGCAGCTGGTTTTGACCACTACTGGGGACAGAATACTGGATTGAATGGAACTTGAATCTGATCCAATCTGGCAATTGCTATGTTCCTACATCTTCCTCCACTGTGGGTAATGGTTCTCTTCTGTGCTGAAATTTCCTTTGAAAAAAATGAAAATGGTGCACAGCTGGCATATGCAGCCTACTGGGGCACATGTGATGTGTTGGCCCAAATTTCTAATGTTAGTTTAAGCAGCTGCACCTCATGGAGAAGCCTCTGGGCCAAACCAGTGGTGACATAAGTAACATGTATGTAAATTGGTATCAATGACAAAGCAGCACAACTTGCACTGATTTGGCATTCATTGGGTCTGCAAAATGAGAGTGACTTATAGGCAGAAGGGTAGGAGGGTAACTGTAGAAAAAATAGCAACTACCATTAGCATGGCAAAGGTAGCCTCTACCTTAACTTACACCAGCACCATTCCCAGCACAGCTCTCTTGGGATCAGGTTTAAACCTGATGTAAACATGCCACGTCTTGTGCTGAACCCTGTCTATTTTATTCAGCCGAGTATTGGTCATTATTTATATTGTGGTAGCATCTACCATCCCCTATCACGGATCAGGCTTGCATCATTGTTCTAGGTGCCCTTTGTAACAAAGAGATGGCCCTTGCCCCAGAAAGCATACAATCTAAGTCCAATTTATGTTCAATGGAGTCACTCCAGATATGCCCCAGTGTAACTGGGATAAAAATCTTATCCTTGATTTCAATTATATCTTAGTGGCACCAGGACTACAGAGAAAGTTACCACTCACTACAAGAGCAAGAGATTTAATAAAAGATGGGAATCTTATACCACACATTATGACACTTAGTACATTAATGCATTCAGTTCAAGTAGCTCTCCTTCTACAAAATGATGTGCAATTGTTAACATTTAAACAGGAGTAATACTTACGTTGTGAATGCTTCATTTTGTTTGGCCCCACGGTAGTAGGAATAGAGATTAAACATTCCTATCATGAAGGCCACAAACACCATGATAAATATTACCATGAACTTGAAGATGTCTTTCACAGTTCTGCCAAGTGATATCTGTAGAGGTCCAAAGCTTTCATTGGCTGGGAGAATGTAGGCTATTCTGGAGAAACTTAAAACAACCGCAATTGCGTACAGGCCTTCAGATATGATTTGTGGATCAGATGGATCCCAGTTTATTCTTGCTAGAAATAAAAGATGAGAGTTTCTTGTAATTGGGCTGAAGTATACTTTAGGCTATTCATGGGATTATGCTCTTTTGGTTAGAAAAGAAAGAGTGGCCCAGATCCTTTGCTAGTGTAACCTGGCACTGAAATCAATAGAGGTATGCAGCTTGGGTGCTGGCTCGCTCTTTAGTTTTTCTTTTACCGTATTTTGAAAATGAAATGCAATGCAGCCACTTACAAAGAGAGAGGCCAATTTTCAGACTTGGGTGCCGAAATGAGGGCACCTGATTATGCACCTAAAATATACACATATAGTGCCTCCTTTGAGTGAAATCGCTGATCGCTCTCACGACTCAGCTCCTTGGTAGCATGGGCCCCTACCTGCCAATGTGAGTGCCCAAACTGAGTCCACAGCAAAGAATTTTTAATGTGCTCAGCAAACTCCTTGCATGAAGATCCTTCCATCAACCAAGGCTAGAGAAAGAAACATGCTTTCTCAAGTCTAACACAGAAATGGGCTAGTTGCCCCAACATCTAATGCCCCTGAACAACAACATTTCAAAACATCATTATATATAACACAGAAAATGACGTTCCTGTCCCAGAAACTCAGTGGAGAGCTAACATTTACGCACCACAACAAATAAATGAATGACTCACTGTGTGAGCTTAGACATGGAATGGACTCATTTAGATTATGTACATTTGCTTGTGAACAGGACCTTTTTTAGATGTAGTTCATTTCTTGTAATTACATATCTGTTCAGCAAATTGCTGAGCTCCCCCTGGGGATTTCATTGCATTCTGCATTCTAAAACCAAGAGGTTGGACCCCTACTTTAAGTGCAAAATGGAATGCAACCTTAACTATGAAATCACAACCGGTGCCTCTATAATACTAATGTCAATTGAAGCTCCACTAATACAGTTCTATAGCATGGACTAGAGAGAAGAATTTTGCTTGGCAACCTTAGAAATCCAGTGCAACTTAGACACTGGTCCCTGTTTATAAAGGCAATAGTTTGCTGTAATTTATAATTGAATTCATGTTTAACTAGCTGTTTTTAATAATTTCCCACAGATGAAATTTTTAATCCATATTCATACTTCAAAAATGTATTTGTAGTGCTCTATAGCACATATATTCATCATACTGCTTTTATACATCCTGGGTAATGAAGCCAGGCAACCTGCTATGTACCAGCAGAAGTGTGTTCGAGATACTGGTATAAACAAACATAACACCGAATGTAATGAAGAGAGTAAAAAATAAAGTTGGGTGAAAAATTAATCCAATCTGATTGAGAGACTACATAAAGAATTAGAAATGTATTAACATAGAAACAATTCTTTTTCGTCCTATATTTAAGTCTGAATTCTGTGAATTCAACTCACCCAATGTGTAGTAACTTATGTTGGAATCCAATGTTGCAGTTGTAAAGTTCTTCACATTAGTAATTGCATCAAAAATGACCTGGGCTCTGGAAGCATGCCAAAATGCCATAAATCTTGCAATGAATGATGCTGCAAAAATGGCTAACATACCAAAATCAAGCATATTCCATAACTCAAACAGATATTCCTTGGGCCCTTGAGACCAAATTTCTTTACATTCAGCCCATATCATGCCTGCGTAAGAGAGAAGAGAGAATATACTTCATTAATTTTTAACTTCATATTAATCCTCTTTAATATTATATTATGAATAGGATGTGATCTTGGAAGCAGTCAAACTGGAAAGCATTTCTGCTTATAGATTCTGAATTCCTTTTTGATGTGCAAATCATACTCTTCAACAGAGAATGAAGGAAAATTAATTGTCTCTCCCATTCCAACAGGAGGGCTAATTCTTTTCTCATGACAGTTTTATATTGGTGTATCTCCACTGACTTCCTATGAATTTACCTCAGTGTAAGGGAGAAAAGACTGTTTACATTACTCACAGTATTTCACTGACTTCAGTTGATAATGGGACTCCTCACAGGTGAAATTCACCTCTGTACAGAGAACAAGCACAAAGCCTGTGCTTCATTTAAATCACACATAAGCCCCACCTAGTTTGAGGGCTTACGTGGGACTTAAGCAATGCATGGGCCTTGTGCTTGCTTTATGGATTTTCTCTCATGTGAGAGAATCAAAGCTGCTTTAAAACACTAACCCATACAAAAGTGGTTGACAAGTATAATTTCGGTAAGTTCTACGGACTGTGTTATGTGTTATGCAGGAGATCAGACAAGATGATCACAATTATGCTAAATTCTAATTAGTGCTGGCTTCTCATTATTCTTCTCAGTATGAACAATAAACTTCCTGTGAGAAGCAACATCAGCATTACAGACATTTGCTGGTCATTATAAATACCAGATGACCTACAGTAGATCAGCACAGTAGCACATGAAGCTAATGTGACATTTTATCAATTCCCTCTGCTCGACCATCTGAAAAGTAATTGAAGGAAGCTGTTTTTCCTTGGATAAAGTAAAATGAAAGATATGCTGCCTTTTATATCTTTATCAAGGGCTGTGAGGATATGTCAGCAAAATCTCTTTTTTCTAGCTGTTTGAAAGGTAAATTAAAAATTTATTAATAAAAACATGTCATGGGAAAACCACTGTGTGTTTCAGATACGACACTCAAATCCACTTTACACATTAGTGTGTGAGGATCTAATAGCAGAATGGGCCTGATCCAGTGTTCCTTAAAGTGATTTGTGTTGTTATATGGGCTCAATTCAACAAATTCTTATTCATGTGAGTAGCCCCTTCTCATGCATGTAATAATATTATTCTTACATACTGATTTTTGTCTGTATATCCCAAAGTAGTGTACAAAGGATAGTATCATTATCCCCATTTTACAGAGGGAGAAAACAGAGGCACAGAGCAATGAAGTGCTTTGTCCAAGGTTCAACAGCAGGCCAGTTGCAGAACCAGGAATAGAAGGTGTGTTCTCATTAACCACCTATTGGACACCTTTTGTCTTCCATGAGACTGCCTGCATAAGTAATGACTAGTCATATGAGTAAGGAGCAGGCTTAATATTTCCGAAATAAAATAAGGGAAAGTTTGTATTTGTTCATTTACCCAAAAGCCATCAAATAATATTAAGGTACCATAGCATGAAATCTATCAGTATACTGCATTCTTTTTCATTACTGTATCATTTTAAAGGTAGGAAGAAAATACCCTTTGTTATAGCTATGAAATAGCCTTGTAGGTTTCTGGAGAGAGTTGATAACACAAGCTACAATCATTTTACCAATGATATATTATATCTATCAAATTATATGAAATTTTGTGTAGGACGTTTTCCTTATTTTTCAGTTAGTGTCAATTAAAACCTCACCCAGAGTAACTGTTTAAAATACAATATATGTGACATCTGTATAAGATCATGGCAGTAACTCATTTTTGATAAACAGTTACTTGTATTATATTTAGGCACCACAATGAAGTATTATACAATCATTTCACACAGTTTTGCTCCTAAATCAGATTACAATATATAGGTTTAATTAATACAATTAAAGTTCTTAGACTGAATAATTTATTTATTCATTTATTACTACATGAAATATAAGTGCTAAATAATTTACAAGCTATACTACTATATTCATTTATTTGGTTAAATATTATAAAGTAAGGAGATTATTAGTGCTTTTTAGGACTATAGAAATGACAATATATGATATGTTTCAGAGTAGCAGCCGTGTTGGTCTGTATCCGCAAAAAGAAAAGGATTACTTGTGGCACCTTAGAGACTAACAAATTTATTTGAGCATAAGCTTTCGCGAGCTACTGCTCACTTCATCGGATGCATGCAGTGGAAAATACAATAGGGGGATTTTATATACACAGAGAACATGAAACAACCATACAGACTGTAATGAGAGCGATCAGGTAAGGTGAGCTATTACCAGCAGGAAAAAAAAGAAAAAAAACCTCCAACATCAAAAACCTTTTTGTAGTGATAATCAAGGTGGGCCATTTCCAGCAGTTGACAAGAATGTGTGAGGAACAGTAGGGGGGAAAAATAAACATTGGGAAATAGTTTTACTTTGTGTAATGACACATCCACTCCCAGTCTTTATTCAAAAGCCTAATTTAATGGTGTCCAGTTTGCAAATTAATTCCAATTCAGCAGTTTCTCATTGGAGTCTGTTTTTGAAGGTTTTGTTGTTGTTGTAATATTGCGACTTTTAGGTCTGTAATCAAGTGACCAGAGAGATTGAAGTGTTCTCTGACTGGTTTTTGAATGTTACAATTCTTGACATCTGATATATGTGATATATGCCATCATGTGCCAGCAATGCCCCTCTTCCATGTACGTTGGCCAAACAGGACAGTCTCTACGTAAAAGAATAAATGGACACAAATCAGACGTCAAGGATAATAACCTGACTGTCTCATTTTGTGGCCTTAATTAGTATTCCTTCATTTTAAATCTTTTCAGCATTTGTATACTATTCAGCATTTGTGTACATGTTTACAGTACGAGATTTCAAGTGTAGATAAGCTACTTATTTACAACAGAATATTTCAAGTGTGGATAGACTACATGTTGACCAGATAGACCACTATGAAGAGGAGATTTGAAAGTGGTGCAAGCAGGAGACAGTGAAAACAACTGAAAAAAGAACAGGAGTACTTGTGGCACCTTAGAGACTAACAATTTATTAGAGCATAAGCTTTCGTGGCTACAGCTCACTTCATCGGATGCATAGAACGGAACATATAGTAAGAAGATATATACACACATACAGATAAGTTGGAAGTTACCATACAAACTGTGAGAGGCTAATTAGTTAAGATGAGCTATTATCAGCAGGAGTAAAAACTTTTGTAGTGATAATCAAGATGGCCCATTTAGGCAGTTGACAAGAAGGTGTGAGGATACTTAACTTAAGGAAATAGATTCAATATGTGTAATGACCCAGCCACTCCCAGTCTCTATTCAAACCCAAGTTAATTGTATCTAGTTTGCATATTAATTCAAGCTCAGCAGTTTCTCCTTGGAGTCTGTTTTTGAAGCTTTTCTGTTGCAAAATTGCCACCCTTAAATCTTTTACTGAGTGGCCAGAGAGGTTGAAGTGTTCACCTACCGGTTTTTGAATGTTAAGATTCCTGATGTCAGATTTGTGTCAATTTATTCTTTTGCATAGAGACTGTCTGGTTTGGCCAATGTACATGGCAGAGGGGCATTGCTGGCACATGATGGCATATATCACATTGGTAGATGTGCAGGTGAACGAGGCCCTGCTGGCATGGCTAATGTGATTAGGTCCTATGATGGTGTCACTTGAATAAATATGTGGACAGAGTTGTCATCTGGTTTTGTTGCAAGGATAGGTTCCTGGGTTAGTGTTTTTGTTGTGTGGTGTGTGGTTGCTGGTGAGTATTTGCTTCAGGTTGGGGGGCTGTCTGTAAGCGAGGACTGGTCTGTCTCCCAAGATCTGTGAGAGTGAGGGATCATTTTTCAGGATAGATTGTAAATCTTTGATGATGTGCTGGAGAGGTTTTAGATGGGGGCTGAAGGTGACAGCTAATGGCATTCTGTTATTTTCTTTGTTGGGCCTGTCCTGTAGTAGGTGACTTCTGCGTACTCCTCTGGCTCTGCCAATCTGTTTTTTCACTTCAGTAGGTGGGTATTGTACTTTTGAGAATGCTTGATAAAGATTTTGTAGTGTTTGCCTCTGTCTGAGGGATTGGAGCAAATGTGGTTGTATCTTAGAGCTTGGCTGTAGACAATGGATCGTGTGGTGTGTCCTGGATGGAAGAGGGAGGCATGTATGTAAGTATAGCGGTCAGTAGGTTTCCGGTATAGGGTGGTGTTTATGTGACCATCGCTTATTAGCACAGTAGTGTCCGGGAAATGGACTGCTTGTGTGGATTGGTCTAGGCTAAGTGAACTGAATGAAGCAGCAGCTAAGAGCTCAAAGCCAATAACTTAATTTCTCAGACCACTGGGAAACACACCTTACCCAACAAACAATGCTACAGATAATGAAAACTCTGCAGCTGCAACAGATGATATTTCAATGCCAATACCTGAACACGAGGACAGTAGTCAAGAAGATGTGCCAACAGTAACAGATGCAGCGGAAGATCCTGTGTAAGATCAAGAAACTCAACAGCAACAGGAAGATGTAAATCTTACGCAGCAAGAGTAATTCATGAGTACTACAGGTTTGACTGTGACTGACACTGGAATTATTGACAAGAGCAATGCTGCCCAAATGCAATCTTTTCTTCAAATTCGTTGTTTTGAAATTCCAAGTAACATTCCACAAGATGCTGATAATCATGCTTTCCCTACTTGTCTACTGACAAAAAATCTTTCAAATGGTGAGACCTGCGCAAGAGACTGGTTATGCTGGAGTACGGAAAAACAATCTTTGTACTATGCACCCTGCTTCATTTTGAATAAAAGTGCTGCAAATGCATCAGTTCTCTCTGATCAATCAGGATGGAGCATCAACAGAGGTTGGAGGAAGTTGAAAAACCGAATACCATCACATGAGAGTTCAACTTCACACAAAGAAAACTATGATGCATGGAAATCAGCCAGCAGGGCAGCATCAGCTGAAAGTTCAGTTGAGAATTTACTCTTGACTGAATTTTCTCTACAGAAACTAATAACTGGAAAAAAACTGCTTGAGCACATCCTGAATGTCATCCTTTTTCTTTCTAAGCGAGGATTGGCTTTCTTCGGTTCCAGTCAACGTATTGGTGATCATGCAAATGGAAACTTTCTAGGCATAGTTGAGCTCCTCAGCAAATATGATCTACTTTTATCAGAGCATGTTCGAGAATCAAAAGGGAGTCAAAAGCGCATGCAAGTCCATTATCTCTCCACATGCATACAAAATAAGTTTATTGAGCTATGTGGGTCATTTGTACAAACAACAATTCTTGATGAGATTAGAAATGCCAAGTATTTTTCAATCATTGTTGATGCCACTCCAGATTGTTCTGACAAGGAACAAACTACTATGGTTATTCGATATGTTATGATTGTAGACAGCTCAAAATTTTCAGTTGAAGAAAGGTTTATTTTGTTTGATAATTTCACGAGAAAAACTGGAAAAGAAATTGCTGCTCGAGTACTAGCAATTCTAGAAGGTTTAAAGTTAGATTTTCAAATCTGCATTGGTCAAGCCTATGACAATGGATCTAATATGTTTGGGAAGTACAAAGTGTACAAGCAGTTCTGCTTGAGCATAATTCAAACTGTATTTTCTCCAGCTGTGGAAACCACACACTTAACCTTGTAGGTGTTGACTGTGCTGAATCATGCCAGGAGGCAATTACTTACTTTGGGTTTGTTCAGCAAATGTACAATCTCTTCAGTAGCAGTCCACAAAGATGGGAAATTCTGAAGCAATATCTTCCTGTTTCACTGCATGGGATGTCCAAAACTAGATGGTCTACGTGGATTGATGGTGTTCAATCAGTTGCGTAGTTGAATTCAGTGAGAAAGACTTTAAATGAGCTTGAATCTCTCAATCTCACTGCACAGGCTCGAACTGAACTTCAGTCTATTCAGAAGCACATGTCCAAATTTGAATGCATTCTGATGTCATCTTTGTGGATGAAACTACATACAATGATCCACCAAACTAATCTGGTAATTGAAGGACACAATGCCACACTTGATGTTGAGAGGGATAACATTGAAAGTCTTATCAATGACATTCAACCAATTCATGAACAATGGGATGCGATCCTGACTGAGTCCAAATTAGTAGCACAGACTATTGGCATTTCATCTGAGTTCTCCACCAGTCGCAACTTACCTACTGAATCTGATGCCAAGCAGCATTATAGGGTCAATGTCTTCCCTGTCATCACTGATTCTATTCAGTCAGGTCTTACATGTCGATTTGAGTCACTGCGACTAATTTATACCCTTTGGGGGTTTCTTTGGCAGTTTAACAGACTGACTAATGAAGATCTACTTTCTGCACCTGAACAATTTCAGCAACAGTACAACAAAGAAATCTCAAAAGAACTCAGTGACGAGGTCATCTTCCTCAGACAAATATATTCCATGAACTTTAAATTGGATTGCAAGCCAAAGGAATTGCTTCAAGAAATACTTGAATTTGGACTCTCTGGGGTGTTTCCTAATATCACAATTGCATTGCATATTTTTGTCAGTTTGCCTGCATCAGTGGCTTCAGGTGAACGCACCTTCAACATGTTGAAGCTGGTGAAGAACTATCACCGTTCAACTCTGGGATAAGAGCATTTGAATGGGCTGGCCAAGCTTAGTATCAACTGTTACACTGCACAAAAGCTACATTGTTCCTCAATAATTAGTGCGTTTGCACAGAAAAAGGCTAGAAAAGCATTTGTTAAATAAAAAAATATTCAAATTATGCCCCACTCTTTTTTTGGTGCCTTATTTTGTTTGTATGTGTTGTCATTTTTTATTTTTATTATGGCTAGGAGCCTCAAAAGCTGGAAGTGGCTCGGACCTCTCTGGACCTCTGAGAGGGCCTGATCAGTAGGGAATTCCCCATGCAGACATAGGGCAGTATATGAATTCAATATAGTCTTTCTTAGGCAAAACTCCAACTTCCATTGATTTCAGTAGGAGTTTGCTTAAGTAAAAACTGCAGGATCATGGGTTCTATATAGCTTGATTTGGGTTTTCTGTTATGACTGACTTTGCTAAGGATAAGTCCTGGCATCCTTACTCAGACTGAGTAGTACTTTACTCCATTGTACTCAATGGGTCAACTCAAGGTACTTTTCAACATATGTGACAGTGGCAGAATTTGCCCCATAATACTTAGGAGGATAGATTTCTACTCCTCTTAGGCTGAGCAGTACCTTATTTCACAAGAAATCCTATTCATTTCAATGGGATTATTTGCAGAAGAAGATACTACTCAATACAGAGGCAGAAGTCCTTAATATGGTAAACTCATGCCATGGGAATGGAATATTGAATTAATAATGTGTACCCTATAGAGACTGACTGCAAAGAAAATGAAAGATGCAGATGTGTTTCCCTTGTGTTTTGTACTTTTTCCATGTAAGACTGGTAGCAGTGTGTGTAACTGGAATTCAGCCCCGTTGCCATCACTGCAAGACAGAATTCGAATTGAAAATTAATCTTTACCTATTACCCAAGAGATAATGAGCATCTCCATCCATGAGAAGCAGGATGTTTTCATTCTGAACAGGATGTTTCCATTCTGTTTTTCATTATCTGTTTTAGTTTCATTAGGTAGGAGTTTGGTGCCTTCAAATCTGTCAGATGCGTTCATGACTAGCAGACCAAGAAAAATGGTGAAAGAGGCTGCATGTGCTACAAACTTCATAAACGGTCCACGCATTATCCTCCCCAGCTGCAACAAAAAACAAAACACAAACAAATTCTATCAACTTTTTAAAAGTACATTTATATCAAAAGCGCAGTAAATAAAGACAATGAAAATATATACACACTGTGATGTCATAATGAAATTTACCTTGTAAAAATGTCTATTTATTGGCTATCTTTAGAAACAAGAGGAACAATTTTGCTATTAAATGTCAGTATTCTTCTTTATCTATATAGCAATGTTTAAAAATATTACTATAATTCTTCCTTGCACGTCTTTGCACCTATTATCATTGCTCATCAAGAGAAATATTGATTGTTACTGGAAAGTTTCTTTTAATTTTCATCCTTGAGATCCTTAAGAAGCAGCAAAGGAAATGGAAGAAATATTGTATAGTTTGCTAAGTAGAGACAATGAAATATCATCACAATACAGATGGGCACACCAGGTTTAGGTTTGATGTAGTATCCAACTTAGGGGGCAGGTTCAGGATAGCAAAAGCAGTTTTTCTGACATGCTTTGCCTTTTGGTTTTTAACATTTAAATAGGCCCCAAAAGGTTGTGTTTACACTTCTGTAGCTTCTTACATTCTTTCTTGATTCTCTTAATGGAAATTTCCTTAAACACCCACCAACAGACATGACTAAACCTTGAACAGACATTTAGATTGATTTAGCGTGACACTAAACAAAACTGAAAATTCATGTAAGCCCACACCCGTCTAGGCTATTAAAATATCTATTTTAAAGGGATTGGTAAATTCTTCCATTCCTCTCATCAGTCCTAAGGAATTAATCCAGTTGCATGCTCGGCACAAAATGCCTATCTGTTATTTAGGGTCATGACAGCCACTGTATTTGCCAAAATAGGTGAAGAATTCAAAGCCAGCCTCAAGGGGTCATTGGCTGAAATAGTTAGCATTGGTGGCCACTGAAAAAGGTAAGGAGAGGCCGCAAGCATTACTTACTATAAGTAGTTATTTCAAATTATTATTTAAAGGTCAGACTTCAGCCAACATCAAAGTGAAGTTTAAATAAACAAGGAATAAGAGGTCAGTGAAGGATACAGTAGTAGAGTCGATAAAACACAGATAACTTACTGAAAAAGACAGTCATGTATAAAAATAATATTATTAAAGGAACACTGTCAAGGTTAGTAGGCCCCAAATTTGACCTCTCTACTCTTCTATATATCCTTTTGCAAATCCATGCAATTCATTATGTATTTCCAAACCTCCATAAAATTACTTTGTCTTTTTCCTAAAAATAATCAATTTCCTCAGCCTCATGAGGTGCCCTAGAACAGTACTTCTCAAACTTTTGTACTGGTGACCCCTTTCACATAGAAAGCCTCTGAGTGTGACCCCTCCTTATGAATTAAAAACACTTTATGTATATTTAACACCATTATAAATGCTGGAGGCAAAGTGGGGTTTGGGGTGGAGACTGACAGCTCATGACCCTCCATGTAAGAACCTTGTGACCCCCTGAGGGGTCCTGACCCCCAGTTTGAGAACCCTTGCCCTAGAGCATCAGTTTATTCTGTGTGCAGTGTGAAGTAAAAGGATACTTCCTACAGGTTTTATTTTCAAACTTCCCCTCGGGGGGTTATGAACAACAGTGAGTAAAACAGATCTGAGAATGATAAACAAAATACCTTGACAGTGTCCTTTTACATGCATTATCTGCCTGTGTTCACAAATGAGGATGGGACTGGGAGACAGATGCCAGAAAGAGACATACCCAGGGAAGAAGCAGAAATATTGAAGGAAATCAGGTTAATTTCAGAATAGCTGATCAAGAAATGAAAAAAAATCTAAAAGATTGACAAAGCCCCCCACTCACCAAAAAACAGAAAAAATCTTTACTAGATGTAATTAAAAACTCACTGGAAATAAAATAGGCTACAGACAGTCTGGGAGTTATTTTTGACACCTACATTTGGGAAGTGACTAGAGCTGGTCTAGGAATAGAAGTTCTGTGACTTTGACTCTACCTGTAGAGAAGATGCAGGGCAGAAAACATTAATTAGGGACAGAATGGGGAAACAGAAAGATAGGGCTTGAAATTAGAGCTTACTGCACGGAATATGCACTGAATTTAATAGGAGTTGAGGGCATGCAGCATCACATAAGATTGGATCATAAATCTTGGTAGATGACACAGATATAGAAAAGGGAAATTACACTTTCCAATGGTGAGGAAGGAACAAAAAAGTTGCTGGCAAAAAGGTAGTGGACATGCTTTTTAGTGTGATCCCTCCAAGCTTCTCTTATAGAATCATAGAACTGGAAGGGATCTCAAGAGGTCATCTAGTCCAATCCCCTGCATTCAAGGCAGGACTAAGTATTATCCAGACATTCCTGACAGGTGTTTGCCCAGCCTGCTCTTAAAAACCTCCAGTGAGGGAGATTCCATAACCTCCCTAGGCAATTTATTCCAGTGCTTAACCACTCTGACAGTTAGGAAGTTTTTTCTAATGTCCAACCTAAACTGCCCTTGCTGCAATTTAAGCCCATTGCTTCTTCTCCTATCCGCTGAAGTTAAGAACAACAATTTTTCTCCCTCCTCCCTTGTAACAACCTTTTATGTACTTGAAAACTGTTATCATGTCCCCTCTCAGTCTTCTCTTCTCCAGACTAAAAAAACCCAATTTTTTTCAATCTTCCCTCATCGGTCATGTTTTCTAGACCTTTAATCATTTTTGTTGCTATTCTCTGGACTTTCTCTAATTTGTGGACATCTTTCCTGAAATGTGGCACCCAGAATTGGACATAAAACTCCAGTTGAGGCCTAATCAGCGCGGAGTAGAGCGGAAGAATTACTTCTTGTGTCTTGCTTACAATACTCCTGCTAATACGTCCCAGAATGATGTTTTCTTTTTTTGCAACAGTGTTACACTGTTCGCTCATATTTAGCTTGTGATCCGCTATGACCCCCAGATCCCTTTCCGCAGTGCTCCTTCCCAGGCAGTCATTTCCCATTTTGTATGTGTGCAACTGATTTTTCATTCCTAAGTGGAGTACTTTGCATTTGTCCTTACTGAATTTCATCCTATTTACTTCAGACCATTTCTCCACTTTGTCCAGATCATTTTTAATATTAATCCTATCTTCCAAAAGCACTTGCAACCCCTTCCAGCTTGGTATCATCCACAAACTTTATAAGTGTACTCTCTATGACATTATCTAAATCAGTGATGAAGATATTGAACAGAACCGGACTCAGGACCTGTCAAGGTTCCTTCCCCACTCTGATCTCTGGGGTACAGATGTGGGGACCTGCATGAAAGACCCCCTAAGCTTATTCTTACCAGCTTAGGTTAAAAACTTCCCCAAGGTACAAACTTTGTCTTGTCCTTGAACCGTATGCTGCCACCACCAAGCGTGTTAAACAAAGAACAGGGAAAGAGCCCACTTGGAGACATCTTCCCCCAAAATATCCCCCCAAGCCCTACAGCCCCTTTCCTGGGGAAGGCTTGATAAGAATCCTCACCAATTTATACAGGTGAACACAGACCCAAACGCTTGGATCTTAAGAACAATGAAAAATCAACCAGGTTCTTAAAAGAAGAATTTCAATTAAAGAAAAGGTAAAAGAATCACCTCTGTAAAAATCAGGGTGGTAAATACCTTACAGGGTAATCAGATCCAAAACAGAGAGAATCCCTCTAGACAAAACCTTAAGTTACAAAAAGACACAAAAACAGAAATATACATTCCATTCAGCACAGCTTATTTTACTAGCCATTAAACAAAAGAAAATCTAATGCATATTCTAGCTAGATTACCTACTAACTTAACAGGAGTTATAAGGCTGCATTCCTGATCTGTTCCCGGCAAAATCGTCACACAGACCGACAAACCCTTTGTGTCCCCCCTGCATCCCTGGGCTCCAAATTTGAAAGTATCTTGTCCCCTCATTGGTCATTTTGGGTCAGGTGCCAGCAAGGTTATCTTAGCTTCTTAACCCTTTACAGGTGAAAGAGTTTTGCCTCTGGCCAGGAGGGATTTTATAGCACTGTATACAGAAAGGTGGTTACCCTTCCCTTTATATTTATGACAGGCCGCTATTCCAGTCTGAAGGTGATTTATGTGTACTGGAAGCTGGTAAGAGGGTTAGTGAGGAGATATAAGCTCTGGTGTCTTCAGTATAGAGATGACGGACAACTTTATACCTCCATCTCCACTGATCCAGCTGGAGTGGTAATTTACATTTCTCGGTGTCTAGGTGAGATTGGGCCATGGATGAGGGTAAACTGGCTGAGACTCAATCACCTCAAGTTGGAAGTTGGCTGAGGGACGCAATTGGAAGATGTGACAGGAGGGCATGTGTCCTGCATTTGTGGATTGGATTCCCAATAGGAGGGTCCGGTTAGACACCCAGCTGCTCACAGAGGAGCCAGTTGCGTTATGACTAGGTCAGCTTTCCTTCAGTTCCAGATGACCTGGAGGCTATGCCCATTTATTTCAGCTATGGTCCTTGTAACTGTCATTCATCCCTTTCTCACTTTGAAATTACAGTGACATACTCTGCATGAGGCTACAATTGAAATCCATCCACAGAATGCAGCCGGTGCAGGTTTTGGCACTTGCTTTTAAGTGGTGTGTCATTTTGTGAGTATATTAAACTAGTGCTCTCCGATCTCCATTGGCTGTTTATTGGTTTCCAGGTTGATTTTTAAGGTACTTATTTTTTCCCATAAAACCCTCTGGCACCTACCTATCTCAGAGGCGATATCTCTCCCTGTGACATAGTCCCACAGCTGCAGTCAGTGGAGGCAGCTAAGAAGGAGCTTTTTGGTATAGGAGGGGAAGGACGGTCCATTGGTTAGGGCATTAACCTGGGAGTTAGGAGATATGGGTTCAAGTCCCTACCTTCAGAGCACACTTGGCTGTAGGGAACTGAGGGATAAGGCAGGTTGGAGATTCCAATGCTGAGTTTATTATATGTTTATGTTCACACTGTTTCTGGGGTAGAGCCATCCGTGAGTAAATGCCAATCTGTTAATGGATTAATTGTATT